TTTGTCCCACAATACCTGCCGTCAGCATAAGCGCCTCAAGTCCCGTCTGTGTTTCATCAGCATGCATAGAGCACTAGAATGTTGGCTTATGGCTGGTGGCGGTGGTGGGGACAGCGAGCAAAATTCGTACTTCAAAGGTCCAAACGACGTTATGCAATGAGTCATGTGTGTTGACTTAATTTATACTGCTTAGTGATAATTTATTCAGTGAGAATAGTAGTTCCATTACTGTTAAATTATGACAGTGTGTGTGCTCCTGATACCTTATATGATAATCATTATGGGAGCAGGAGAGCAAAGTTTTTCGTATGGGACTCCCACTAGGCAAAACAAAAGGCTGCGGTTTCAAAGCGACTGTCGTTTTGCGGTTTGTGCGGAATTTTCGCCCGATTTGGAACATTCTCGTACCCAGCCTCCTGATATTGAAAATCGGGGGCTAGGCAAAAACCCTGAAATTCTGTTGAAAATAAGTAGCAACAAACTTTTATTGGCCAAAAAAATAAACAAACATACCAACGGGAACCAAGCAAGTCAAATCGTTTAAGAAGAACGGTTATAGATCTTCGAATCTTGGGTCATATTCTATTTTCATTTGTCGAACAATTAAACTTTCGCAAATAGAAGACGTGAACGAGCCGTTTATAGAAAGGTTTAGCCGACATTTCAAAGCAGCTCAGTCAATTTGGAGGACAAAACAAAAGAATTTTAATCACCTGAAAATATTGGAAACCTATTGTTGTGTCCTCCAAATGGAGCTGCATTCTGACGTGCTCCAAGGGATCTATAAGCCAGTTCATAGTTTAAGAATCGTTTCCAGTCCGCATGCAATGTTATCCCCAATTTCTCACCTTCTTTTGTTTAAACCTTCTTTTGTTGTTAATTAAACAAAAGAAAGTGAGAAATTCGGGATAAAATCGCATGCGCACTGAAAACGATTCTTAAACTATGAATTGGCTCATTGCCTTGCTCTATGAAAAAAGTTCCTATTCTCCCTTCCATTGTTATGTTTATTAATGAGACTTATTAAAACGATATTAACAACCATTATGCTTACAAAAGTACACCTTCATTTTATACCCTCATTATTTTAAGTACCATAATTAATTCAATTGTGAATTTCAATAGTTTTCCTTTTGGTTATATTTTAACTAATAATTTAATGAATGGCAACCAATATTGCGAAAGTCGAAGAAATGTGGAGTAAACAAGTAGATTGTGAATGAGTAGCGACATTATACTGGGGTCCCTGTGTTTACCTTCAGAGACACCAGATGTACTAGCCTGTAATAGCACTGTTTACAGCGCTATTTCCCTAGCTGGTTCAAACTCCTATTAGATTCTACTTTATCTTATTCTGTTAATGAAAAAAGAACAAAGCACGCAATTTTCTATACTTGTTTAGGAGAAACTACGCTTTTCAGATTAATTGCGGCTCATTTGGGAATCATCTGTTCAACAACTGATTTCAACGCACAAAGGAATCTCGTTTTTTTCTTGCAGTCTACAAGCAATCTGTGGGTTAAAAATATGATGGCAATTAATCGTGTATAATTAAGCATTTGAATCTTTTGATAGGACATACCCGTGTACGAGTTACCAAAGACGAGTTTTTCAGCTTGACGACCTATAGATTAAACAAAAGATGCGTTTGATGCTTTTAGAACGGCAAAACCGGAAGAATTACTGAGACAAGTTATCGGCTATCTTTAAAATAGGGAACGGGCAACGGGCAACGGGCAACGGGCAACGGGCAACGGGCAACGGGCAACGGGCAACGGGAAAATATATTCAGGAACCTAGTGGTAAAATGTTTCTTGGCTCCGTCAGCGACAGCATTTCACCCCTGCGTTCCTGATGCGTGGTCATAAGGTTAGAGGTAGAAGAAGTCTTTAACATTTACGATCTGGGCTAAGGACCCGTTCGTGCTAGACCGACAAAAACTCTCCGTGTCATTTTGATTCATAACAAAAATTGGCTTTGACAAAATTCTCTATATCTTTCTTCCTCGCTACTTTGCAAAATCTGATTTACATGCAGCAACAACTTATAATGCTGCTTTGTCTTTTGAGAGTCCAGCAATTTCAAAATCAAATTGTGTTCCGAATAAATAAGGGAAGACTGCGACGAAGATTTCAGCCGTATTGGAAAATACAACATTTGCCTATAGGTTTGTGGCGGTTCGAATAGTTATTTTCTTGACCAATATTGGGCCTTCACTCACCTGAATTGATTTTGCGCCAAAAGCATATGATTCTGTTAAGGATCAAGAAATCTGACAGTTTTGACGTTTGACAAAATTTTGTCCTGCTTCGAAGCAGGCCGACGGCGTTTTTGAAGTTTGGTAAAGCGAGACAAATTTTGGTAAGATAAAAAAATTGCGGTCGCACTAGGAAATGGCCGATGTTCACAGATATTTTTGCAAAGCAAACATAAATTTAGCCTAGTGCGAACGGGCCCTAAAACTCATCAAAAACAATATTTCAACTGACTATTTAATTAATAAAATCTATTTACAATATTGAGAGAACTATATTTTCCCGTTTTCCGTTTCCCGTTTCCCGTTTCCCGTTTCCCGTTTCCCGTTTCCCGTT